GAAAACTGGAGGGGGAAGTGAAATGGGCAAGACCTCAAAAACAGGAGGGGGACAAAGAAATGAGGGGGGACCCCAAGGGGGGGGGGGGGGGGGGAGAGATGGAGGGACTCCAAAAATGAGGGGAGTGAGAAATGGGGGGGACCCCAAAAACTGAGGGGTCCTGAAAGTCGGGGAGCGGGGAAACTGAGGGGGTCCTGAACCCCTTGGTGTGGGTCACTCTAAATCTGGGGGCTCCTGAACCCCCCGGGAGGGTTGAGGGGGACCCCAATATTTTGGGGGCCCCCCTTGAGCCCCCTGTGCCCCCCCCAGGTGCGTCGGGCCGAGTTCCCAGCAGTGACCTGAGAGACCCCCTCAGGACGGGGGCACCCTGGAATTTGGGAACCCCTAAATTTTGGGGGGAATAATGTGTGTGGGGGGGTGTCGTGGAAAACTGGGGGGGGAATGGGGGAGAATAAAAGTGACTTCGTGTGACGGGTCCGTGTCCCATCGTGGCGGGGGGGGTGGGTTGAGGGGTCTATGGGGAATTTGGGGGTCCTCTAGGGGATTTAGTGGCGTCTAAAGTGGGGGGTCTATTGGGGGTTTGGGGGTCTCTCTAGGTGCGGGGGGGGTCCATAGGGAGTGTCTGTAGGGGGTGTCTATAGGGGTCTGTATAGGGGCTGGGGAGGTCTATTGGGGCAGGGGGGTCTATAGGGGGTGTCTATAGGGGTCTCTGTAGGGGGCTTGGGTGTCCGGGGGGTGTCTTTAGGGATCTCTATGGGGGATGTCTACAGGGGGTTGTCTTTAGGGGGATCTCTGGGGGGAGTCTGGGGGGTGTCTTTAGGACCCGGGGGTGTCAGTCCATATAAAGGGGCGTGGCCAGAACCCCTGTGCCCGCGGGCAGCCAATAGCAGCGTCCATCCCGTTCCTATAAGGAGTGGGCGGGGGTGGGGGCGTGGCCTGCATGGAGGGGCGTGACTAAACACAGCTCCGCCCTGGTCGATGTAAAGGGGCGGGGCTTAGAGGTGACGTGTCCCTACTCAGGCCCCGCCTCCTCAGGCTGCGGTGGGGAGGGGCGTGCGATGGGCGTGGCTTTGACGATGCGGCGGGTCGCACCCCTTTCCCCGCCCCCTCGCGCTGCGGGGGCGTGACAGGGGGCGTGTCCAGATATAGACCACGCCTGCTCTGGGACCAGACGGGGGGAGTGGCTGGGGTGGGAGAGTGGGCACGGCTTTCGAGGGGGCGTGGTCTGTGTAGGCCCCACCCCCCAGGACTGCGGCGGGCGCGGCTCCGGCGGCCGAGGGTGAGTGGGGGGGATGGGGGGGTCCTATGGATGGGGGGCGGTGGGGGGGGTTCCTATGGATGGGGGAGACCCCTATGGATGTAGAGACATAGAGTGGGCCCTATGGATTTGGAGGGGTATAGGGGGGATCGCTATGGATTGGGGAATATGGGGGATCCTATGGATGGGGGAGACCCCTATGGATAAAGACATATAAGTGGTGAATGGGGGGATATAGAGGGATCCCCATGGATGGGATGTATAGGGAGGATCCTATGGATGAAGGGCTATAGGGCGCTCTGTGGATAGGGGATATAGAGGGTGGTATAGGGGGAACTCCTATGGATGGGGGTGTATCGGCGGGGTTTACAGATGGGGGAGGTGAGGGGGGCTATGGATGGGGGATATAGTTAGCGTCTGTGGATGGAGGGGGTTTGGGGGTGTCTATGGATGCGGAGGTATAGGGGGCCTCCTATGGATGGGGAGATATGGGGGGGGGGCTATGGCTGGGGGTCTGTGGCTGGGCGGTATGGAGGGATCTATGGATGGGGGGTATAGGTGGGCTTCTATGGATGGGCATCTATGGGGGGTCCTATGGATGGGGGAATAAAGGGGGGCCCTATAGTGGGGGAATGATGGGAGGGGTCCTAAACAGGGGCAGTATGGGGGGGGGGGTCCTATGACTGGGGAGATATAGAGGGGCCCTTATAGATATGGGGGGGAGGGGGGCCTATGGCCAGGGGGATATGGTGGATGAGGCATAAGGGGGGATATTGGGCCAGGGATTTAAGGGGAGCCCATCCCCTATAGCAGAGACCCTGGGCCCCGCCAGCCCCTATGGATCCCTTATAATGCTCCTATAGACCCTTATGGATCCCTATAGGACCTGGTGGACCTGTCTAGGTCCCTATGGCCCCATGGATCCCCTATGGATCTGTATGGATCCCTATGGCCCCCGTGGATCCCCTATGGATCCCTATGGCCCCCGGGGATCCTCTATAGATCCCTATAGGTCCCTATGGCCGGTTTGGGGGGCGGGAACTGTCCGCGGTGCTGAAAAAGGGGCGGGGCAACCCCGAACTGCCGGGACCCCCCAATTCGGGACCCCCCGACTCCCGAGACTCTCCAACAGAGGACCCCCAACTGCCGAGACCCCCAGCTCGGGGAACCCCAACCGCCAGGACCCCCCAACACGAGACCTCCTTCCGAACTCCTGGACCCCCCCATTCCTGGATTCCCCCAATTCGCGGGGCCCCCCTGAACTTCTGCATCCCCCAAACTCCTAGCGCCCCCACACACACACACACCTGGATCCCCCTCACCCCTTGGATTCCCCCAAACGTTTGGATCCCCCTCAGAACCCTGGATCGCCCCCCGCCCCCAGGTTCCTCCCATCCCCTCGTGTCCCCCCCCATCCCGGGGTCCCGCCGCGCCCCGCGGTGCCGGGTATTCTCGGGCGGTAACGGATCAACATCGGCCGCGCTGTTATTGCTGGAGAATACGCGGAGCCGAGGGGACGCCCCCGCCTCGGGACCCCCGGGAACCCTCGGAACCCCGTGAGAAACCTGGGAACCTTCAGGACCCCCTGAGAAACCCTGGGAACCTTCGAGACCCCCGGAAAAACTTGGGAACCCCCCTGGGACCCCTGGGAACAAACGCAGAGCCGAGGGGATGCCCCCACCTCAGGACCCTCAGGGGAGACGTGTGTACCCTTGTGTGACCTTCGTGTGACACATGTGTACCCTCATGTGACACATGTGACCTTCATGGGACACGTGTGCATCCTCATGTGACATGCGTGTCGCCTCGTGTGACCCTCATGTACCCACATGTGACCTCCCAATGTGCAGGGTCACAGCAGAGCCCAGATCACATCACCACACGTGTGTTTGTGCATGTGTGTGTGTGCATGTTCAGGACGTGTGTGTGCGTGTGTGTGCGCCAACAGGGCTCTGTGAGTCAGTGTGAGTATGCACACGTGTGTGTGTGCATGTATGTCTGTGCATGTGCAAAGCACACGTGTGTGTGTGCACACATGTATGTGTGTGATGCATGTGTGTGCAGGGTCAGAGCACACGTGTATGACTGAATATACACTTGTGTGAGTGTGGGTGTGCACGTGTGTGTGTGTGCAGATGTCTGTGCATGTTCAGAGCACACGTGTGTGCGTGTGCCCAGGGTGAGTGTGCACACGTGTGTGTGCACACGTGTGTGTGTGTGTGCGTGTGTGTGTGTGTGTGTATCTGTGCATGTTCAGAGTACACGTGTGTGTGTGGCCAGGGTGAATGTGCACGTGAGCACACGTGTGTGAGTGTGTGCACGTGTGTGTGTGTATCTGTGCATGTTCAGAGTACACGTGCGTGAGTGTGCCCAGGGTGAGTGAGCACAGGTAAGTGAGCACAGGGGTGTGTGTACGATGACGGGTTTGCACAAGGGTGTGTTCCCACGGGCGTGGATGTGTCCGTGTGCACACGAGGGTGGACTTGCACGAGGATGGGCGTGTCCGGGTGTGTCCGTGGGCGTGTCAGTAGGCGTGTCCGATGAGCGATGGACAGTTCCACCTGGCCGCGCCCCGCCGCGCGAAAAGGGGCGGAGCCACAGCTGTCACTAGGAGACGAGGCAGTGCCGGATTGGCGGCGCGAGCGGCCAATGGGAACAGCGCTAGGGGGGGCGGCGGGAGGGGCTCTGAGGGGAGATCTGTCGTGATTGGCTGAGAGGCGGTGGGCGGGAACAACGCCGAGGGGAGCTCCGCCCTGATTGGCTGAGGTGCGCGCACCCGTCGTGGGTGGGAACATGGCTGAGCGGATCTGTAATCGGATTGGCCGATCCGCCGTGGCGGGAACAGCGCCTAGGGGAAGCCCCTCTCCGATTGGCCGAGCGCGGCCGAGAAGCGCAGCTGATTGGCTGATTGCTCTTTGCCGCCGTACCCGCGCGCGATGGCGGCGGCGCTGGAGCGGGCGCTGGGCTCGGCGGGGCCCGGGACGGGCCCGGTGCCCGAGGTGCCGGAGGTGTCGGAGCCGGTGCTGGTGCTGGGCCCGGCGGGCTCGGGCCGCACGGCGCTGCTGCTGCAGGCGGCGCTGGCGGGCGGCGCCCATGGGCCCCGCGCGCTGTTCCTGGCGCCCAGTGCGGTCCCGCGGCTCCCGAACGGCGGCGGCGGAACAGGCACGGACCCCAGAGCGCTGCAGGTGAGAGGGGGCGGGAGGTGGCGTTGTTTGCGGGGAGGCGGGGGTGGATGGAGGGGCGGGGTTTGCTGAGGGGGCGGGGGTTGGCGGAGAGTGGGCGGGGTTTGGTTAGAGTAGGCGTGGTTTGCGGGGGTGGGCGGGGTTTTCCGAAAGGGGTTTTCTGAGGGTGGGCGCGGTTTCCTGTGGGTAGGCGGGGAATGCTGAGTGGGCGGGGCCACGCGTGTGGGCGGGGCTTTGTGTGCCCCCATTCATTTTTGGGGTGCGCGTGGGGGCCTGTCCTGACCCCTGTTCCCCCTCTGTCCCCACCCTCTGCCCCCCCCCCGCCGGGGCCACCCTGCCCCCCCCCCCCCCCGCCCCCCACGTGCTGCCCACCCTGCGAAGGTTCTTCCCTGCCCGCTGCCTCCTGAGCCCCCGACCCGGGGGGCTCGTGGGGGTCCGGCTGAGCCGTACCGGGAGGTCCCCCCAGCGCTGGAGGCTTTGCTTGGACTCCCACGGGGAGGGGGGCAAGGAGGAGCAGGATGAAGAGGAGGAGGAGGGGGAGGAGGGCATTGACACGGAGGAGGAGTGGGGATGACACCCCCCCCAGCACGGGGGACATGGACTGATGTGACACGCCCCCCCGGTGGGTGACAAGGACTTGATGTCACCCCCAAAATGGGTGACATAGACCTGATGTCACCCCTCCCACAGGTGACACAAACCCAACGTCACCCTGTCCCTGAGTGCTTTGGGGTGGCCCTGCCACCGTCCCCTGTGACGTGGGGGCACAGGCGGTGACAGGGCTCCAGGTGTCCACTGGGCCCCCTCGGTGCCATCTGGGGGCTCCTGATAAGGGTTATCAACCCCCCCCACCCGGCCCTGAGCACCCGCCACCCCCCAGGGCCCCACGTGTCCCCAAGTGCTGCTCCAAGCGCTCCCAGTTCCTCCCAGTGTCTCCCCATTGCCCCCAGTGCTCTCCCTATTACCCTCTGGTGTCCCCCAGTGCCCTCCCAGTGTCCCCATTGCCCCCCCAATGTGCCCCAGTACTCTCCCAGTTACCTCCTGGTATCTCCCACTGTCCCAGTACCCCC